TTATGGAACAATCCCCCCCCTCCCCCAGAGGTGCCCCCGGTTCCGTCATTGTGGATCTCTAGGAGGCTGAAGGTTTTATTTAGGACTGCGTCTTGATGGATTTAGCAGTCCCGAATTGGAGTTTTTAGTCTATTGGCAGTCCCGAATTGGAGTTTTTAGTCTGTGACGTTTATGGGTTTTAGAAGTGTGTTTTTTAAAATAATGTTTTATTTCTATTTTAATTTGAGTTCCACAAGGAAGAAAGGCGGCTGATAAATGTTTTAAATAAATAAAGCGATGTTGTCGCCGTGGAATTGTCTCATAAACGTGCATAGGTACATGACGGCTCTTTGTGGAACAAAGTTTGGATCCAGTGGGACCCGTAAGACCAACACAGTTTAATTCTGGGCATAAGCTTTCATGCGCATGCACACTTCTTTGTTCTTTAAACTTCGTTGGTCTTAAAAGGTGCCACTGGACTCCAACTTTGTTCTGTTGCTTCAGACCAACACAGCTACCCACCTGCCTCTGTACAGGACGCTGCAAAATATTTAAATGTACAAACCAGTTAGCTCCCCTTCCTACCCAAGTGTAGCTTTAGTGGCACAGCAAGCTTGCAAGGCAGTCTGGTAAAGAGCTGTTTGAATTGTATTTTGGAAAGCAGATGATGAAAAGAAAGCAGTATGCAAGGAGCTAGCTCACAATAACTCAGCTTAGAGGGAACATTGCTACCCACCTGCCTCTGTACAGGACGCTGCAAAATATTTAAATGTACAAACCACCATCAGTTAGACCCCCTTCCTACCCAAGTGTAGCTTTAGTGACACAGCAAGCTTGCAAGGCAGTCTGGTGCTGTTTGAATTGTATTTTGGAAACCAGATGATGAAAAGAAAGCATTATGCAAGAAACGTGAACAAGAGCGATATTATTTGACTTACAGTTTCTTTATAAGTAGGACCATTCCGTTTTTGAGGGGTTTCTGTGGGAGTGTGCGGCTTTCTTTTTAATTGATACAGTGATATTTATGTGGCACTTTATTGTAAATTAATTCCTATCGGCAGAAAAGGAGCCAAGCGCCTTGATAAACTCCTGAGTTTGTTAAGCCTTGTCAGATTATAAAATGAGTAGAGACAGACATTGAACATCGAACACTGGCTTCTACTGAACCAGACCATCAAGGTCAGTATTGTCCATGCAGGCTGGGAGGGGCTCTCCGGAATCTCAGATGGAGTCTTTCTCATGAGCACATGAAGCTACCTTATAATGAATCAGCCCCTCGGTCCATCAAAGTCAGTATTGTCTACACAGACTGGCAGCACCTCTCCAGGGTCTCGGGCCAGAGGTCTTTCGTATCACCTACGGACAAATCCTTTAACGGGAGATGCTGGGGACTGAACCTGGGACCGCCTACTTGATCATTTCAATTGGAGATGCCGGAGATCGAACCTGCGACCTTCTGCATGCTAAGCAGATGCTCTGCCGTTAAGCCACAGCACCCCCCCCCCACACACACAACCATTTGTTTCTTTCAGCATAACTGTGTAGAGCCACCATCTTCCCTGCTGAGTCTTTTCTTCATTCAGAGCTGCTGAACTTCTGCCCTCATCGGTGGCCCAAAGGCCTAGGCTCTACGTAGGAGCTGCAAGACCATTACATTTTCCTGTCCCCAACTTCTAAGGCCTGCAGGTGAATGGAGGTGGAGATGCAGGAGATGTGGCGTAGACTGTTCCTTCAGCGGAGGCTTACTCCTTACCTGCTTCCATGTTGCAGTCCCTTAAAATGGCTGCTGGTTGAGCCGCTGTTGGCTAAGGGAGTTGTTGCATCATAATAGATCACGACATCATTATACGTAGCGTAGCAACCAGCTATTCAGGAAAAGACATCTTGAAAGGTGGCCGGTTCAAGCATTGCGAGTAACAGGTGATGAGATGAGATACAGACCTTGGCACTTCTTGTTGATAAAAGTGTGTGTGTGTGGGGGGGTGTTCTTCCGCCACTCACCTTACCATGTCTGGGGTGCTGCCACAGCTGTTTCAGGTTTTATAATCATGGTGCCCTCAAAGGAACATAACACCTCTTGCTCTGGTGAGGAGCTCCACTGGATCACGAGCTGATACCACTTGAGATTATCGGTGCTCTTATGGATGACGCCTGGAGGTTAACAGCCAATAATGGTGTGATTTCAGGTAAAAAATGAATCGGAACTGCTGGATTTGACTTTAATTTAGAGGAGGAAGGGAGCCATCCATTTCATACCTCTTCATTGCTAGGGAAGGAGCCATGGCTCATCAGTAGAAGGGTCCGGGTTCAATCCCCGACATCTCTAATCAAAAGGGTGAGATAGTAGGCGATGTGAAAGCCCTCTGTCTGAGACCCTGAGGAGCGGCTGCCAGTCTGAGTAGACAGTATTGATCTTGATACGTTGGCTCAGTAGGAAGCTGCTGTCTGTCTGAACTGAATCGCAGCTCATATGTTAATTTATTATTTTATTTATTTTATTCAATTTATACCCCGCCCTCCCCGCAGCGCGGGCTCAGGGCGGCTTACAAAGAGGCATGCGCCAATATAAAAACATATTTAAAATCATTTAAGATCACTACAATACAAATAAAATCACATTAACCAATTACTAAATAAAGTGCTCTAGATGTTATTTCTCAAGATGGCGTATTTCACTGCTCTATTTCCACTACTTTGTTCCTCAGCATCATCTGCTCCGGGAACCACTGATGTTCCCTCTTCCAGGGCCAGGTTAAGATGGACAATAGTGATGGTAGTGGCGGCTCCTACTCATACGCCTGGTGAAAGAGCTCCGTCTTACAGGCCCTGCGGAACTGTACAAGGTCCCGCAGGGCCCGGATCTCCACCGGGAGCTCATTCCACCAGGTAGGAGCCGCCACCGAGAAAGCCCTGGCCCTGGTTGCGGCCAGCCTGGCCTCTCTGGGACCTGGCATTGCCAGGAGATGCTGCGTCCCAGACCGAAGTGCTCGCGGGGGAGCATATGAGGGAAGGCGGTCCCTTAAGTTCTCCTCCGCCTTGCCTATATATTTATATATACTCCACAGCAGAATATAATCTTTCCCTTACCTGGATAGCCCTATCTTGTGGATCTCAGAAGCTAAGCAGAGTAGCCCAGGTCAGTATTGGGATGGGAGCCCACCAAGGAATACCAGGGTCACTATGCAGAGGCAGGCCATGGCAAACCACCTCTGAACATCTCTTGGCTCTTACGATGATTCATTAAAGAAAAAAGTCATAGTTTTCTTTCTGAAATGATACAGATAAGCCATATATCATGAGAATGGACTTGCAGCCTTGGCTTGCCTCTTAGGACCTGGGAAAATGTAGTTTCCTACCTGCTGTGGAGTAGTGTGAGGGGCTGCGGTGGCTTAGAGGTTAAGACGCTGAGCTGAAGACCAGAAGGTCTGTAGCTCGGCAGTTTGAGACCTGAGTGCCGCGTGATGGATTGAGCTCCCGTCTCTGGCCCCAGCTCCTGCCAGCCTAGCAGTTCGAAAGCAAGAAATTGTGAGTAGATAAATAGATACCGCTTTGGTTGGAAGGTAACAGGGTGTTCCGCGTGCCTCGGCGTTTAGTCATGCCAGTCACATGACCGTGGAAACATCTTCGGACAGCGCTGGCTCTTCAGCACCGACCCCTAAAGTCGGATTCAGCTAGCTTTCGAGCAAGGGAAACCTTTACCTTTGTGGAGTTGTGTGTTCCTCCACCTAGGGTTGCCAACCTCCAGGTGGGTCCTGGACTTCTCCCAGAATTATAATTGTCCACCAGACTACAGAGATCTCTAGATATTCCCCAGCTTGGAGCTGGCAACCACCTCCACCTGCTGTACACCTCAGTAGTGAATGCTTCTGCACCAGGGAGACTTGGAGTGGTGCGGCCGCTCGGCCATAAACGTTTATGATGTGGCCTTGTGTAAATCATTCCCTCCGAGTTTCTCTCGCCTCCTGAGATTTCCGTAAGGCTGAAATGTGGCAGTCTCATGCATGCTACCCTGAGATACTTGCGGGGTGGTGGTGGTGGTGCGGAGGTAATGAAACAAACCAAGGGTGATCAGCAGAGTTGCCAGATGTGGGCTGGGGAAAAACCTGAAGACTTTGAGGGTGGAGCCTTAGGAGGGCAAGGTTTGGGGAGGGACTTCAGTGGGCCCAGTGCCACAGAGTCTGGAAGGAGAGAGAAGAAGAGACTCCCTTGGGTAGTGAAGGTCGGGGTATAAATCCAATATCTTATTATTATTATTATTATTCTACCCCGCCCTTCACTCGCAGTCTCAGAGCGGCTTACAAACTCCTTCCCCTCCCCACAACAAAAGGTGGGGCTGAGAGAGCTCTGAGAGAACTGCTCTTTCAAGAACAGCTCTGACAGAACTATGGCTTGCCCAAGGTCATCCAGAAGCTGCAAGTGGAGGAGTGGGGAATCAAACCTGGTTCTCCCAGATTAGAGTCCGCACATTTAGCCACTACACCAGACTGGCTTGTTGCCATCTTATGATTACAGGTTGCCCAGTTACAACATAGCACTGCATACCGATGTGGCCATTTTTATACCATATACATGTTATATAAACAACCCAAAAGAGAAATGTGATTTTTAAATGTTGTGTATCTTTATTTCTACAGCTTGAAAACATTTTTGGTTTTCTTAAGGATTTAAACTTTGTGAGGGAGAATTTTATCCTGTTTTGTGTGAAATTCAGTGAAATCACCAAAGGCCAGGAAAAAGTTGATTTGGAGGGTAAGGTCCACCATTTGGAGGGTCAGTGGTTCACCATTTAGGCATCCCTGAAAAAAAAACAAATTATGCATTTATACCGATTTAACAATTTACATTACATATAGCTATAAATATCTGTACATTATTAAACTTGGAAATCGCATCACAGCTCTTGTTGTATTAGTAACTGAGAGACCCCACATCGCACAGCTCTTTAAGTGTCACAACTTAGGAAGAATGTTGACTTTAATTGCATTTCATGGGATATGCTTTTCAGCTTCCATGCCTGGACAATGATTCCACCAGGAGACTGTCTATATGCTGGGAGGAAAAGACGGAAACCCGTTCAGAAACAGTTAAGTATTTATCAGTTTCTTTTTCTGACAATTTATTTATCTGACCTTATCCTGACAATAGCCATGAGGTAGGTTAGGTTAAGAAATAGTAACTTAAGTCAACCAGTGAGCTTCATTGTTGAGGAGGATCTGAATCCACGTCTCTCCCTGATCTAAGTCTAAAACTCTATCTGCTCCTCCTTGATTGGTATAATATTTGTTGCGGAACAAATGCTCCCCTTTGTTTTAAATGGTGGTCTCCAGTATGTCAGCCTTCACATAAGGCCTGAAGATCTTCCAGAATTACAACTCCTCTCCGGACTAGAGATCAATTCCCCTGAAGAAAATGGCTTCTTTGGAGGGTGGGCTGTTGGGCATGAGTTCCTGCTGCAATGGACCATGCTGAGGCCCCTCCCCTCCCCAAACTACACCCTGCATAGTTTATACCCTCAAATCTCCATGAAATTCCCAACTTGGATTTGGCAAGCCTGTCTTCTACTATAATGGTACATGTCTTTGGTGGAAATTTGGTGCCCAAGAGGATAAACTTGTTTGTTCTATGTGTTTTGTGTACTATCCAAAACACATAGAACAAACAAGTTTATCCTCTTGGGCACACCAATATTACAAATTCAAATGCTCCTTCTTCCTAGGGAAGACTGAGAGTTGTTTGCTTTGCAGGGCTACAGATTTTTCCCATAGATCCGCAGCAAACTACAATTCCCAGGATTCTTTGGGTAGTGTCATGGCTGTTAAACTGGTACAAAAACAACAGGTTTATAGCATAAATTTTCTTTATACTGTTCTCATTTTCTACTTCTTTCAAGAGACGTGTGTAGCCACCTTTATTTAAAAAATAAACATAAGAACATAAGAGAAGCCATGTTGGATCTGGCCAGTGGCCCATCCAGTCCAACACTCTGTGTCACACAGTAGCCAAAACCCAGGTGCCATTGGGAGGTCCACCAGTGGGGCCAGAACTCCAGAAGCCCTCCCATGGTTGCATCCACAAAGCACCAAGAATACAGAGCATCACTGCCCCAGGCAGAATGTTCCCTCTATACCTTGTGGCTAATAGCCACAGTGTTACCGCCAATGGTCTGCCTACTCTAACATAAAGATTTTGGGGTTCAAATCAGGACCAAATGAGTTACGATAGCTGGAAGGTTGTTAAAGGGCAGTAATAACTGTGAGGGACCCCCTCTCAAACCGGGGCCATGGTGCAGGGGGAGGGGACATTTAATCCTTCTCTCTGGTGTGGTTTCATTGATCCAAACTGACCCCTCCTCCTAAGATTGCCAATCTCCAGGTGGTGACTGGAGATCTCCTGGGATCGCAACTGATCTCCAGCCGACAGAGATCAGTTCTCCTGGAGAAAATGGCCACATTGGAAGGTGGACTGTATGGCATTATGCCCCACTGAAGTTCCTCCCCTTCCCAAATTCCACCCTCCTCAGGCTCTACCCCCAAAATCTCCAGATATTTTCCTACCCAGAGCTCCTCCCCGCCTTTGTACCATTGGCCCTGGAAGGGAAAAAAGACAGGCAAAGAGAATAGCTGCTTTTTCCCCCCTTCAATGGTCCTCCAACCTGTTTGAATTCGACACCCTTGATTGACATAGTATATAAAAACAGTTTGGCTGATCATCTCAAATAAAGTATATTTACGTCCTAGAACGTTGTGTAACATTTTCACATAGGCGTTCCTTTCTGTGAGTTAATTGCAGCTTTGTCGAATGGAGTGAATTTTGTTCCTGCAACTAAGGTAAAGGTAAAGGTTTCCCTTGCTCGAAAGCCAGTCGAATCTGACTCTAGGGGGTGATGCTCATCTCCGTTTCCAAGCCGAAGAGCCATGAGGTAGGTCTGAGGTAGGTCTGAAGACGTCTCCATGGTCATGTGGCCGGCATGACTAAATTCCAAGGCACATGGAACGCGACTAGTTCACTTTTTTTCTGACTGGGTGTCTGACCTTTTCCACCTGGGTTACTTGCCCTGGGTTCAGTGCTGTTGGGAAATATGGGTGGGTCCCATTTCCCCCAGAGCATCACAGTGTATTCATGCATCTCTTGGATTTCCCTCTGGCTTTTCTTTGATGCTTCCCAAACCTGCTTCTCTGTGAAGTTTTAGAAAAGTCACAGCCAAACCAGGATAGCTGCCAGGTAGGCATGAGCGTTCAGATTTTCCCAGTCCCGCCCACACAGCAGCCATTTTCCCTGCCCTTGGCTGCCAGGCAAATTTTTGATTTTATTCCAGTGAATATCATTATAAAAATCTGTGTATCAAGTTCTCTGAACATAAGAAGATAAGAACGTAAGAACATAAGAGAAGCCAATGTTGGATCAGGCCAGTGGCCCATCCAGTCCAACACTCTGTCACACGGTGGCCAAAAGTACCAGGTGCCATCAGAAGGTCCAGCGGTGGGGCCAGGGCACTAGAAGCCCTCCTACTGTTGCCCCCCCCAGGCACCACGAATACAGAGCATCACTTGCCCCAGACTGAGAGTTCCTATCTATACCTTGTGGCTAATAGCCACTGATGGACATCTGCTCCATATGTTTATCCAATTCCCTTTTGAAGCCATCCATGCTTGTAGCTGCCGCCACCTCCTGTGGTAGTCAGTTCCATGTGTGAATCACTCTTTGGGGGAAGAAGTACTTCCTTTTATCCATTCTAACCCGACTGCTCAGCAGTTTCATTGAGTGCCCACAAATCCCCAGTATTCGTATAAAAAAGTAGGTCTGTAGTCCCTTTTGTTGTAGATATGTCTTTCCTTGTAGCTATGCCTTTCCTTGTAGATATGTCTTTCCTTTGTAGCTATACAATGAAAAGGGCTAGAGACTTTAGAAAGAAAAAGAAAAGCTGGGAATTCGGAGAACCCGATACGTAGATTGTTCCAACAGTATTAGATTGCAAATTTTAAAAACAGCCAGAACAGCCCTGGGTTGTGCAGGGTTGTGCAGGGACTGGTGCAGGGAAAATATGAGGAAACCTGCTATGTGAAAGCCCCATAGATGCTCTGTGATGTCGGGGTAGCAGCAATAGGGAAACTAGAGAAGCATGTCTCCATGTTAGGGATGCCAGCCTCCAGGTGGGACCTGGAGATCCCCTGGAATGACAGCTCATCTCCAGACTACAGAGGTTATTTCCCCTGAGGAAAATGGCTGCTTTGGAGGGCGGACTCCATCCCAGGAGTCCTGGAGCTGGGGACCCTCCCCTCCCCATCCCCCATCGATGGTCAGGGGGGACCTGGCAACCCAACTCCATGTGCAAAACACTGCAGTGTCTATTGTGTTGGTCAGTGCTGAAGTCTTATCAATGGAGGATGCAGTGGTTCTTTCTGTGTTTGAGTGCAGGCAGTGAAAACTGTCCTTGCCTGTGTGTGCAGGTGTAAGAATCGGGGCTCTGTAACACGTTTTCCCCACAAACAGGAGGCCCGCACTTGGAAGTGGGAAGTCCAATCCTTCCAAGAGACACAGAGACCGCCTGAATGCTGAATTAGATCACCTGGCCAGCCTCCTGCCTTTCCCACCAGACATCATCTCCAAGCTGGACAAGCTCTCCGTCTTGCGTCTCAGCGTCAGTTACCTTAGAGTCAAGAGCTTCTTCCAAGGTGAGCTTTCAAGCTGTGCAAAGTATTTTGCCGAGGGAGATCATCAAGCTGGGAAATTATTTCTGCCGCTTAGTTTAGATCAGGGGTGGCCCAACTTGCTCAGCGTAAGAGCCACATAGAACAAACGTCAGAGGTTTGAGAGCTGCAAGGCAGGAACAGATATGACACACACGTTTTTGTTTTTTTAAAGTATGCAACTTTGCTTTTGATTAGCATTAAATGAGACTGCCGAAAATAAAAAAGAAGAAGGGGTAGAAACAGATGTTGATTAATGATATTTATTTGTTTGCTAATGATATTGATTTGTCTGAGGGAGAGAGAAAAAGCAAGAGAGAGAGATGGAAAGAAAGAATGAAAGAGGTGGAAAGAAAGAGAGAGAGAGAGAGAAACAAAGAAAGCAAATAGATGGGAGGGAGGGAAGGGGAGGGAGTAAAGTCTGCGTCCCGTTTGCTACCCCAGCTGCCCTGCCAGGAGCCGCAGAATATGTGTGAAAGAGCCGCATGAGGCTCCTGAGTCACAGTTTGGCCACCCCTGCTTTAGATAGTCGTAACTATGCTGTTCTGTGTTCATTGCCAGGTTTGTCAAATGTAATGGTTTTGCACTTCCCTGAAAAGTGTAGGCTTCCTTGGAAGTCACGGGGAAAACTTTGGGGATGTATTGGCCCTGGATATACCTGGATATTCCCCCCCCCCACCGCCAGTGGTTACTTGCAGGGCTATTTTTGGGCAGGAACGCACAGGAATGGAGTTCCGGCTGGCTCATTAGGATTTGCTACATTAGGGGTGTGTGGCCTAACATGCAAAGGAGTTCCTGCTATAAAAAAGCCCTGGGTTTGGACAACAAACAAGGTAAACAGAATGAGAAGCAAAAGGTGGGTGTGGCTGGATGACCACACTTCTGGTAACATGGGGGTGTGGCCTAATGTGCTAATGAGCTGTGCTGCCATGGGTGTGGCCCAATATGCTAATGAGTTCCTGCTGTTGGGTGTGGCCTATTATGCTAATGAGTTCCTGCTGGGCTTTTTCTACAAAAAGAGCCCTGCACTTGTAAGCCTTTATACTTTGTAAACTTATATTTTGTAAGCTTCCATTAGGAATGGAAAGCACTGTTCAAAAATGGGAAATGTGACATGTTACGGGGGGGATTGGAAATAGGGTTGCTCAAAGAGCAGCACCTAGGAATGCCAGCCTCCAGGTGGGACCTGAGGAGCTCCCAGTTCGGTGTAGTGGTTAGGAGCGCAGACTCTAATCTGGGAGAACTGGGTTTGATTCCCCACTCCTCTACATGCGGCTGCTGGTGTGACCTTGGGTCAGTTACAAGATCTTTCAGAGCTGTTCTGTCAAGGGCAATCCTCGAAAGAGCTCTCTCAGCCCCACCGACCTCACAGGCAATGGTCCCTCTAAGCTGCGGAGTCTTGTGAGCAAAATCTCTACTTTGTGAGCTTCTGGCATTAAAGTTGTGAGTGAGCGATTTGGCTACTGCATAAAGTAGTTTGCTCTGGAGCCCTATCCTTCCTGAGCCAAGACAAAAATGTGTGAGCCAGAGTCTAAAAAACTGTGAGCTAACTAACTAACTCAGCTTAGAGGGAACACTGCTCACAGGGTGTCTGTTGTGGGGAGGGGAAGGGAAAGGAGATTGTAAGCTGCTCTGAAACTCCTTTGGGTACTGAAGGATGGGGTATAAATCCAATCTCTTCTTCTTCCTCCTCCTCTTCCTCTTCCTGCCCCTCTTCTTCTTCTCAAAATCACAACTAATCTCCAAACTGCAGAGATCAGTTCCCCTGGAGAAAATGGATGCTTTGGAAGAAGAAGAAGAGGAGGAGGAGAAGGAGATTGGATTTGCACCCCTTCCTTCACTACACAAAGGAGTCTCAGAGCGGCTTACAGACTCCTTTCCCTTCCCCTCCCCACAACAGACACCCTGTGAGGTAGGTGGGGCTGAGAGAGCTCTGACAGAAACTGCTCTTTTTTTCAAGAACAGCTCTTATCAGAAGTATGGCTTGCCCAAGGTCATCCAGCCAGGTGCAAGTGGAGGAGTGGGGAATTAAACCCAGTTCTCCCAGATTAGAGTCAGCGCACTTAACCACTACACCAAACTGGCTCTCCACAAACTGGAGGGAGGATTCTATGGCACCGTACCCCACTGAGGTCCCTGTCCTTGCCAGGACCCCCTCCTTCAAACCTCCGGGAGTTTCCCGACCTGGATCTAGCAACCCTACCCCACCACCCCACCCCAGTAACCAGGGGAACCTCAACCTGGCAACCCTAGCAGCTACGGAAAGCTTCTTCGCCAAACGCAGTTCTCTGGAGGGGCTTTAGGTGGCTCTTTTCATGCCAACCCAGAAACTATCTGGGGCAAGAGAATCTGTCACCAAGCAGTTTTGGGTGGAGCAGACTCACCGTTTTGACTCACCCACCCCTCACTCCCTGCTTCAAGCAGCCTTCTAGGAAAGCCAGTAGCTGCGGCAGGCTTTAGTCATTTTGTTAACCTAGAACAATATGCCGCTGAATGAACGAGGGGTGCCAGGACCACCCCCCCACACACACTCCAGCCACCAGCAGGGGTGTGGGGGTTGCCAGCTCCAGGCTGGGGAACTCCTGGAGATTTGGGGGCGTGCCTGGGAAGGGGAGGCACTACAGTGGGGTAGAATGCCGTAGAGTCCACCCTCCAAAGCAGCCATTTTCTCCAGGGGAACTGATCTTCGTAATCTGGAGACGAGCTGTAAGTCCTTGGGATCCTCAGGCCCCACCTTGAGACTGGCATCTCTCGGGGGAGTCCCTGGATTGTATTAGAACGGCACCAGTATGTGAGGGGGGGGGGAGTGTCTGAGATTAGGCCTCCTTCCAGTCCCTGTGCTGCTCCAGGTGCCCTGTGCAAACATGCCGCTGGCTCCAACCTTTGGGTAAGTGAGCCAGTTTGGTGTCGTGGTTAAGTGTGCGGACATCTGGGAGGACCAGGATTGATTCCCCACTCCTCCACTCGCAGCTGCTGGATGACCTTGGGCAAGCCATGGTTCTGTCAGAGCCGTTCTGAAAGAGCAGTTCTCGAAAGAGCTCTCTTAGGCCCACCTACCCCACAGGGTGTCCGTTGTGGGGAGGGGTGTTGGCATCTGCAGATTAAATGCCATGCAG